GACAGGGCTTGTGCAACAGACCACAAGAGAGCAGTGCTTTATTTAAAGATGAAAACAAAACAAAATCAAGGTAGCCCTCCCAGACAGCATGCAAGTTTTTTAAAGTGACATCTGTAGTCTTATGTTTTGTTTCTGGAAGAAATATTCCAATCTGTTTGGCATGTTACCTCAAACATTTAATCAGCAAAATGCCAATTTATTAAAAGACAAAACCAAGTCAATAACTAACATTATAGAGGTGATTTTGTGTTTGCCAAGTACTTTATCATCAAATATTTTTGTTTTGTAATCTAAGCCATAAGCTCCCAAATACATTTAGTTCTATAATGATTAATTTTTAGATGTGAGACTTATCCTAAATTATAATTCTTGCTGCAGTGCTAGAATTTACATGATTGTGGAGGAAAAAAGAAAAACTTGGGATGAACTATCCATCACAAATCTTCTGAGTGTCTAGTATATACCTGATATTATTTCTTCTGCTGAGCATACAGTGATAAGCAAAATAAAGTTGATTTTCTTATAGTGGTTGTATTCTGTTATATGAAGATAACTGCAATCAAGGATACAAATGCATAAATATAATTTTAGTTTATGATAAATGTCCTTAAGGAAATAAAACAGAACAATAGGATAAAATTTGCTTGGGGTAAAGGTATGGTGATACTGGAGCTGAGTCTTAAATAATTATAGTTTAAGAGGAAAATCTTACAAGTAAAGAACAAAAGACATGAAGACTCTTCAGAGGGGGCCTGAAATACTGAAAACAGTACAACTAGTACATAGTACACAAAAAGGGAAATGATATAAAATCAAGGAAGCAGCTTGTAGAACACTACAGGGGCATAGAAAGCCAAGCCTAAAGTTGCTATTTCATTTATAAATATAGAGGAAAGCCATTGAAGGGTTTTAAGCAGGGAAGTAACATTGTCTGATCTGCATTTTTTTAAATCACTTTGGTTGCTGTTTGCTGAATAGTAGGGGAAAAGAAGTAGCTGCAGATAGATCTATTATGATTTTTTCTAATAGAGTAGGTAAAAGGGATGAGAATAGGGAAGAAAGAAAATAATCATAAAGCTAGAAAGTGAGAGAAACTTGGAGATTCATCATATTATTCTTCCTACATTTTGTATATACCTGAAATTTTCTGTAATAAGATGATTATTTTAAAATATCTTTTTTGGCCTGGCCATAGCTCAGTTCTTTAAGTGGCTGCTTCCACAAAGCTGTGAGCCTCAGGT